CACACAAAGACTGTATAAGCTGACGATCTGAAGTGAAATGAACAAGAGTATGAAGCTCTAAAGAAATGCACAGGAGCATACCTTCCCTTTTACCCTGCCTCCTGAAGTAACATGCAAGTGGGCCGTGAAGGCACACGGGGATGTGGGCAGCTGCCGATCAACCACAATCAATGTGGGCAGCCTTGTGCGTAAGAGGCACGGTAAAAGGGGAGCTGCAAGAACAATGAAAGGGGTACCCCAAGGACAACCAAAAAACTGTCTAATTATAAAATTGCTTTAATATGTTGGACATCTCAAATGCTCTCGTTGACTGCAATAAGACAAAGACTGCGTTGATTCTGAATCTATTCACCTGGGTGGAATTGGGGCTGTTGTGGGGAAAACCTAAAACACACACACACGCACACACACACACACACACACACACACACACACACACACACACACACACACACATATGAAGATGATACTGACCGGTGAAGGGCAGAGCCTTCAGCCGCTGATGCTGTGATGAGGCAGAGGCAGAGGCAGAGTAGTGAGGCTGAGGGAGAGAGAGGAGAGGGTGAGATCACACACACACACTCACTCAACTCGACGCAGACTCGACAAGACTCGACGGACACATACACGAAGTCGCAAAGTCGCGGTCTTCGTTTCCCGAACACAATGTCGAAGCAAGTCCCACTGAGGCTGAAAACTGAATGCCCGTACTGGGTGTGAGTCCGGTCTCAAGTACCGGACTCAAGTTCAGTCCAGAGGGCAGAAGTGCCATTGCCTCAGGACTGAACTGAGAATCGAAAGTCTGAGTCTGGGCGCCAGAATGTCGGAGGGTGCCAAGTGTCGAAATCTGAAAGTGCCAAAGGAGGGATTTGAAAACAGGCGCCAACTGCAGAGGGCGCCAACAGTCAGAAACCGAAGAGCAGGCTGGCGGGTGGTACCCCTTGGACCAGGGATCGAGCCCTGGCTGAGTCCGTAACACTATCCCCTCCCTCTAGAAGGCAACGTCCCGGCTGCCAAAAGCCATGAAACAATGCTCAAGTTTGTGAAGGACGTGACGGGGCATGTCCAAAGGAAGAGGGGTATAATGTGGGTGGCCTGGGTCGGGGAGTAAGAGGGAACAGGGTTATCCTATCAACAAGCTAAGGGGTTTTGCAGGGTATTTCTACTGATGTGCTAAGGGGGCTGGGAAGCACGTGGAACAGGGTAATCCTATTGATGAACTAAGGGGTTGGAAACAACGGGGAAACAAGGTAATTCTACTGATGAACTAGGAGGTTCAGGGCAAAACAGGTTATGTGGTCCTCAAAAAAAAAGGAAATTTACGGGGCGGGGTTGCTGAGGGTCGGGGATTTAGTGGTACAGGTTGAAAGTTCTGTGTAGCAGTCCATGTAGATGTCTTGAGAACAGGTCTTGAAAGGTGTCGCAGAAGTGTCGGTGAGAAAGCAGTCTTCAGCAGGTCTGTGATGTGGACGGCGAGAGCTTCAGCTTGAATGTCCCAGTAGCAGGATGCGTCCGGTACTCAGATCTGGTGCTGAGGTCTGATCCAGATAGCAGGTCGCAGAGTGATCTTGATGTCCCTGTCAGAGGTGCCACTCCAGAAGTCTGCGAGTCCAAGGTGATGCCAAAGGGAACAGCATGGTGGCCAACCAGCTGTCTTATCTCCTCGTACAGAGTTGCAGCATGCCATCGTCCTCGTGCGCTTGCCATTAGATCCATTATCGCCGGCGACACGCAGGGGCCACATAGGGAATTTGGACAAGAGGGACAAGGATGTGGCGGAGGACAGATGGGAGAAGGGGGCGAGACGGAGGCAAGAGCGGATCAGACAGAGGGAGGTCAAGGGGCAAGGGCTTTGCTGGGGACGGGTGTGTGTAGGGCAGGAATGCAGGGTTTTGCGGGGTCAAGGCACGGTTTATGTAGGGGTTTAAGGTTGGGGATGTATCTAGGATATAGGGTGAGTGCGATCATAGGCGCGAACAAGTGTCATAGCGTTCTTGAGATTACAGAGAGGTTCCCATGTAGATTCTTCATCGGGGTATCCGGTCCATTTGACTTTGTGTTCTTTGATAGGTTCCAGATGGTCTGATACCTGTGTAGTTCGTCATCCTATGATGGATTCTACTACAAATTTCGGGCCTGTGGGAAGCATGATTGGTGGAGGTCAGCGAATTGAGGTGGGGATTCATGATACTCTTTTAGGTATTCTATGTGGAAGACAGGGTGGACACGACTCATGTCAGGGGGAGTTGGAGTTTGTAGTTGATGTCGGAGTTTTTTTCAATGATGAGGAAGGGTCCGAGCCATTTGTTCGAGAGTTTCTTTGGCAATCCATGTTTGGGTTCAAAGCATTTGGCGGCGAGCCAGACTTTGTCCCCTACTTTGAATTGCAAGTCTCGTCTGTGTTTGTTAATCATGTTTGCTTCTTGTTCTGTGTTGTTGCAAGGGCTTCGGTTGCTTCTCTGAGGAGTCCATTCATTGTTGCTACCCATTCATTGAGGGAAGGGCAGGGTGTGGAAGGGTTGAGCTGGGAGGGAAGCAAGAAGTCGGAGGGCAAGCGAGGATGGTAGCCAAGGTCGAGGTAGAACGGGGACATGCCAGTGGAAGGGCAGACGGCGTTGATATAGGCGATCTCGGCGGCAGTGAGCAACTGGTCCCAGTCGTGTTGATGTGGATGACAATACTTCCGCAGGATTCTTTGGAGAGTATCGTTCATCTTCTCGGTTGTCCATCGGTCTGGGGGTGGAATGCAGTGCTATACTTGAGTGTGGTTCCATATGCTTTGAAGAGGTGTTTCCAGAATTGTGAGAGGAAGCGGGGATCACGGTCACTGTTGGTGTTCTCGGGGAGGCCGTGATGGCGTGCGACATGATCGAAGAAGAGGGTGGCGACGTCTTTGGCACTGTGCGAAGTCGTGCAAGGAATGAAGTGGGCACGTTTCGTCAAGCGGCAGAGAATGACGCAGATGCAATCATGCCCGCGGTCGGTCTTGGGAAGGCCGCACATGAAGTCCATGGAGATGGACTCCCAACGGTGAGTTGGGATGGGGAATGATTGGAGCTTGTCGGGTTTGACCCGGTTCGAGGGGTTGACAACTTAACACATGGGGCATAAGCGAATGTATGCTTTGATGTCGGCGAGCAGGGAAGGCCAGTAGAAGTAGCGGCAGATGGTGTCGAAGGTTTTTTGGAAACCGAGGTGTCCTGCGGTCTTGGCGTCGTGGTGCTCAGCCAAAAGCTGAGTACGGAGACCTCGTGCGTCGGGGATGCAAAGTCAGTGAGTGCCTTTGGTATAGATGTAGAGAAGCTTGTCGTGAAGGGAGTAGCCGGGGACTGGGTCAAGATCGCGGAGCTTGTTGTAGATGGTGGCGAAGTCTGGGCAAGAGGGGTAACCTTGGGTGTATCGGTGATGGAGTGATGGGAGGAGTTCGATATGAGTCATGGCGGCGTAGACTTTCTTGGGGGGGCTTGTGGTCGGGTCATCGAGAGAGGGCATCCGCAACGCGGTTGCTTTTGTCGGGGGTATGGCAAATGGTGAATGTGAACTGGGCAAGGAAGTCTAGCCAGCGGGCTTGGCGTGAAGTGATATCTTTCTTGGAGAGGATGGAGGAGACGATGGTGTTGTCAATGCGGATGGTGAAGTATTGTCGGTCAAGGTACGGGCGCCAGACTGTGAGATCGTGAATCACGACGAGGAATTCCTTCTCGTTGGAGGGGTAATTCATCTCCGCGGGAAGGAGCTTCTTGCTTGCGAAGGCGATGGGGTATTCGCCGGGTGGAGCCTGGGGGTGAATGGGTGAGTCCTTGATGGAGGGGGTCTTGGTGGTGTAAAGGGGGAAATGTTGGACAGTACAGCTCCAATGGCGAAGTCGGAGGCGTCAGTGGTGACATAAAAATGGCGAGTGGGTCGGCGATCTTGAGGACAGGGGTTGTGGTAATGGTTTGCTTGAGTAAGTTGAAAGCGTGTTGGCGGTGATCGTTCCAATTGAAGGGCTCGTCCTTGCGTGTGAGTTTGTGGAGGGGGTAAGAGATCTCGGAAAAGTTGCGAATGAACGGGCGGTAATAGTTGGCAAGGTCGAGGAAGGAACGGAGTTGGAGGAGGGTCTTGGGCGGGGGGTAATCGACGAGGGTTGTGACCTTCGAGGGGTCCACACGGATGCCTTCAGTGGAGACAATGTGGTCGAGGTATTCGACGCTCCAAGCGGCAAACGTACATTTGTTGAGCTTGGCGTAGAATTTCTGCTCTCGGAGGATCGAGAGGACTTCGCGAATATGCTGGAGGTGGGACTCGAAGGTGGGGCTAAAGATGAGGATGTCATCAAGGTACACGACGACACAAACTTCGAGGAGGTCACGGAAGATGTGATTCATGCTGGACTGGAATGTGGCGGGGCATTGGTGAGTCCGAAAGGCATTACGAGGTGCCCGAACCGAGAGCGGAATGCGGTTTTATGTGTGTCCTCCTCGCGGATATGGATCTGGTGGAAACCACTGCGAAGGTCAATCTTGGTGAAATATTTGGCTCCACGAAGTCGATCAAGGAGCTGGAGATCCGAGGTAAGGGGTACTTGTTCTTGATCGTGATCCTGTTCAAGGCGCAGTAGTCTGTGCACATCCGGAGTTCCAAAGTTCTACCTTTCTTTACAAAAAGGCAGCTAGTACCGAAGGGAGATGAACTCGGTTTAATGAACCCTTTTTCAAGGAGCTCATTGAGTTGCCGGTTCATTTCTTCGGCTTCGGGGACCGAGAGTTGGTATGGAGGGCGGCAAGGTGGAGAATGCTTGGGCTCCAAGTCGATGGTATGGGATACGTCACGATCCGGAGGTAATTCGACAGGCAAGGACTTAGGGAAGACGTCTTTGAACTCGTCGAGGATAGAGGTGAGGGTGGGGTCGAAGGGGGGGGCTTGATCGGGTTTGTCCGTTGGGAGTAGGTCCTCGGGACTTTCGCAGTCAAGGACAAGGCAATAGTAGGCGGAGTCGGGGTTCATGCGGGCCATGTGGAGGAATTGACGTGGGGTGACGGGGCCTTGGGAGGTCGGATATGGGAGATAGGGAATGTCGATGGTTGTGTCGGGGGGGGTGGTGAGGCGGAGGAAGTTGGAATGCGTATGGCATGTAGCGGTCCAGCCACGGTGTTTCGAAGACGATGTCGCACATCAAATGCATGACATCAAATGAGACCTGACTGCAAAGGGTTCCTACTGTCATGGTGGTCTCGAGAACCGTGCGGTCCACTACGACGACGGTGTCTTTGTCCCCTAGACGGATCGTAATCGGGGAGTCGTAACCGGTAGAGGTAAGACCGGCTTTTCGGACACACGCGTCGGTGATGAAGTTACAGGTGGCTCCTATGTCGAGGAGGGCCTGAAACTTAGTGGTAGACGCACCAAGGGTGGCAGCGATGAATTTGAGGTGGAAACGGGATGAGTTGGCAGTGGAGATAATGGTGTTGAGGCGGCGTTGTTCGTTGCCTAACCGGACGAGTCGAGCTTGTTCCTCAACAACATCGGAGAAGGTGACAGAGGATGGATTTGGAAGGAGGGTGGAGGAGCACGAAGCAATGGGGGGCGTCTCAAGTGATGAAGGTTGCGACGCCTCGGGGTCATCCGATGGAGAGGGTGTCACCGGGGAGGGGGGAGGCAGACAGATTGTCGATGCCAAATGGGCCATCGGTGGGACGGGGAATGTCACCGCCGGCTTGGCCGGCAGACGAGTTGTCGATGTCGGGACGAGGTCCTGGGGACTGTGTTTAGGACGAGGAGGGACCCGCGCCTGCCAAGGGGGGTGACGCGGAGGTTGCTGGTCGAGGGGCCGAGGATTGGCAGGTGAACTGTCCAGCATTGGGGTAGTTAGTTTGTTGGTGTCCTAACAGGCGACAACGAAACATCCACCCTTTGCCTCAAGGTAGGCTCTTTCCTCGGGTGTGAGTTTCTTGAGGCGACCCGGGGGGGTGGTCGGGGAATGGCGGGCGGAGCGATCTCTCTTTTCCATTCGCATGAGGTGAATGGCAGAGAGTTCAGCGGGGGAGAGTGATGTGGTGTCTAGTGGATCAGAGAGGGTGTCAAGGTTGGGGGAGGTGAACTGGTCCGAGGAGGTGGTGGAGGTGGTGTCCTCGGAGGCGATGTTGTGGAAGAAGCGAGGGCGGGGAGGGGCCGATGTAAGTGCGGTTTTGTAGGGGGAGAGGATGCGGTCGAGTTGGAGGGTACGAGTCGGCGAGGGTCATGGGGGGCTCGTGGACAAGGGCGGCGCTAGGTCTTTGCGGCAGACGCACTTAATGCGGGAGATGAAAGCAAAATCGCTGACGACGTCAAAGGGGATATGTTGACGAAGCGAGCGGACGTATTGCACAAAACGGTCGGTTGGTCTGTTTTGTTGGAGCCGACAGAATTGGTCGATATAGTCATCGACCATTTTCTGTGGGCGGAAGGTGGAGGTGATGAGGGTGGCCCACTCAAGGAAGGTGTGAAGCCGGAGACCGGCGTGATGGCGATTAGACATTTCGGTGTACCACCAGCGAGCTGTGTTGTCTAGAAGTCGGCCGCCAACGATGGGGAGCCAGTGGATGAC